CCACTAACAATCTATCAAGTCGCGTGAAAAATTACAGTAGTTAGCATGACCGAAACAGATTGCCCGATGGGATCGCGTTACTTTGTTTCCGGCGGTAGATATTTGTTTGTGTTTCTTTCGCTTCCGCGGTCATACGAACGAGTGTACAGGGAATTTAGGTTTAATGTCTCATTTGTTCCCCACTTCCCTAGTCTTTCTTATTGTACGTATTTAGGTCGTCACTGAACAACAATAGAAATAGGATCTTTTGCCTTAATCGCGATTACCTACTTAGAGCTCAAAATTTAATACTTTTTGCGATTTTTCTTTTCAGATTTGATAGAGATATGGCTCTATCAACTATGGTTGATTTAAAAAAACGCTAAACTTGTAAAAATCCATCTTCTTGTCGACATCTTTGTGCTTTGATTATAGGGTATTTTATTACTCGGACGTTTTCTAGATTTTTATTTAACTACTTAGACTTCGTCCAAGTTTGACTTCCATCTAATAAGGAAAATTTCCTTCGATATTTGACCAATGAAGCTCAAATTGAGGCGGAAACCACAAAAAGTTTTGCAAAAGAAAACAGTGAAATGAATTTCATATTTTACTGTTTAAAAATATTCAATAAGTAAACGCTCGCTAATTTTCTATATACATTTGGATTTAGATCTCTAGTCGAGACAAGCATTCGCAAATTTCTCAGTGGAAAATAATTATCGAAGTAAATGCGGACATCCTATAATCTATTTGAAAACATACTTCCGACGCGACGTTCTACTAATGCCAACTAAGTTAATGATAGAGCTTTAATATAATTATTGCTGCTAAGTAAATTACTAGGCTTTCTTGTTGCTGGAAGATTTGGAGGAAAATTGTAACTTGGCGGTGAATCGTAACTTGGTGACGATCGAAGTCTTTTTAGTGTAGGACTCTACGGAAAATCAAATGAAATGAATAATAATTAGAACTTACAAGTCGAATAATGTTAAGTAAGTTAAAGCAGCAACACTCAGACCTTAACTTTAACTGGAACAATAAAAATGTAGAGCTGATTTACTGTTTTCGATAAGTCAGTTAAAAGACCTTATTTAAAAAGTTTATGTAGAGGTAATTAATATTTGTATTTCACTTTAAAGTTGCATAACTACTTGTGCTGTTAGGTAAACCTAGTTATTTTGTGGTCTTCACACAAAATTTACTCTGCGGTTTGTATCGCCGAACCAGTGATTAATTAATATAAATAGCGATTACGTTCTATCCCATCGAAACAGCAAACTCATATTAAACGTAACCACCAAATAATTTGGCGGAATAACCCCAACAAACGGTCCAGTAATTAATTCTGTTACGTAGCGAAACTCGTTTAATTTTCAATTGCTGGAAACAAGAGCAAATCACACAATATACGCTCGTATAATACGAGTATACACTCGTAATAACATTCGTATCGGTAAACGAATTCTGTTACAAACTGAACATTGGAAAATTGTGGAAACCCGGCGGCAAATTGCCTTTACTGTATAAAATACAAGACTCATTTGAAAAATATGATTGGCTTGTTAATAGAGCTGATAGAAATTGTTTTATGAGTATTTTATTTCTAGTTCCATTTAATACAAACGCCTACCTAATTCGTAAATTAATCGCATTCTTACTCCAAGTACCTCTACCTATCTAAAACTACAAGTATTGTGCAATAAATCACCGCGATCTTCCCCCAAAGGTCAATTAAAAACGTTTTAATAGGCTAGTTTCCTAAAAAAATTTTTTTAGTCCGTCATGTTTAATATCAAAAAATATTGGACACATATATTTTTATTTGTCAATCTAACAAATAATTACATAGTTATGGTGCGTTGAAGTTCCGCACGACGTCACAACGTGCGGCACTTTTATGCACGCATTGACGTCAAGGGCCTCTTCTTATGAACTTTGGCGCGCTTTATCTCTTTAAATTTTCATTAGTTTGAAAAAGTGAAAAATACGTGTAGAGTATTTTTTGATAAGTTAACTGACGGACTAATTAAAACTCTTGCTTTTTGACCCAGGAAACATCCCTATTGTCTGGGGTCTGGGTATAGAGGGAAATAAACCTACTGGGAGTGCCAATAATTGTTACTGCGACTGTGTAGTCAACAAAGACCAAAACCATTAGTGTGTTTTCTGACGCATTTTTAAAATGAGGCGATCCTGGTCTGACCTCCAAATACTGAATCTGTTTAGTACAATAACATTGTTTTCTTAGTGTCTCTACCTACCGCCTGATGCTGAAATTCTCCCAAAATTATTCCACTTATTTCAATATCAAGTAGGTATATCATCCGCAATTGCACTATCAATAGCACTTTAAGCGTGTACGTAATCAATCAACATGATAAGCTATCTTTGAAATAATACGAACAAGATTTCGATATCGTGTAAAATTTTAAGAGAACGACATTTTGGTATTTCAAGTAAGTAAACTGCTTTAATTGTAACTCATGCGTATCGATCAAATTGATCAAACAACGCTAGCGCCAGTCGTGGACATAGATTTGGCGCACCCAAGTGACGTGGGCAGGGCGCATTATTGTCCGACGTCCACCGTTTGTTGTTTGGCCACATGACATCACCACAAGGTCGCGCTGCAACGCATTCATAACACCTAATAATAACTTGTGATGACACAGCGAAGTTATCGAGAGCAAAACATTAGACGGTCGCGGCCGCTGTCACCATTATAGCACGCTCGAGCACGACCGAGGCTCTTCGAGATTCCGTGATGCTGATTCGATATCACCCTTTTTTGTATTATCTCAAACATCTACTTTTGGTCACGCCACAGGAAAAGGAGATAGATCACTAGAAATGTAGACAAAGACATTTCAGAACAATGTAGCCAAATGTTGATCAATAAAAATGTAGAGCCGAAAGTTTTCAAATCTGTTTTGCAAACGAACCAGAAGTAAGGGACTGTTATCGTAACTTTTAATGATTGACTGAAATTATGTAGAGTTTCAAAGTTGAAACATGATTCATCTAATAGTAGAGGCAATAAATAAATGTTAAGAACCACGTAAAAGTATTGACTCAGCATTGTTTCCCCGGGTGACATGCTTTCAAATCCTTGTCGCCCCACTTTCATTTATTGCGCTGTCATGATTTGCATGAAGACAGGACATCCTACACTTAGCGCGGGTTGGCGGGAACGTAAGAAAATGCAGGCTTCCTGCCACCACGCAGACCTAGAAATGGTTTGGCACATGACCTCACCTAATGGCACTGCCGAAACTGGGTCGCTCGTCAGTGCGGAGACGTCCCGCATTTTACTAACATTGTTCTATTGCGGTTAGATAGTATAATTTAGTACACAAATGGTGTGCCCATATTACGCAACTCTACACTTTTCCAAAACTTCAAAGTTTGTATGAGGAAAACCTTTTGTCTATTATATAAAGATCAGTTCCTTACTACTAACGATTCCAAAATTATGTTCCGTGGAAAAGTTGCCGAAGTTTCGTTAGGATACTCGTACATTATGATAGAATCGTTGCTATAGTTGTTTTAATCGTACTTAATTTACAGTTACGTATCTTTAAGTAGCGATGCACAGATGATAATTTCACGAAAAGTAACAATGATTATAGTTAGAGATAATTCTGCCTCGATATAACGCGTATGTACCTAGAGTAGAAATTGGATGTGGAATTCCAGAAAATTTAGGACATTCTTAGTGCTCCATTACCTTTAACGTTCAGGAACCGCAGCACGACAGTTTTAGACAGGTGTATTCTCAAACAAGCGCAGCGTTAACATAGAGCAATTCACCAAACTCAGTTTGACAGTTCTAAAATTACGTTTTCCGCTCTCATTTGTTATACTTAGTAGGAGAGAGACAGACTTAGCAATAATAGAGACACCTAGTCAACATCACGGAGGGGCCTGTGTTCTAGATGGTTCAGAATAGATAAACCTTAACCTTTCCGTGGCGGTAAGTAGTGGCTATAAAATTAGCCTAACGATTTTCCCCGTGACGTGACGTGAGCTTGCGTCGACGAACAACTAACCCCAGATGACTAAACTTAGGCCACAAACTTTGAAGGTCATGCATGCTTGACATTTACTTTGGCTCGTCACAGTATCATTTTTGCTCCTGATAAAACTTCTAGAAGTTCTTCCACAATCTATTTAACGTCGTTTTAGTGTAAACGGAAACAAGACGCAAATGACCATAGCAATGTCAACATCAACACTTGCTGATTACTTCCTAATGTTTCATGCAAGAACTATAGTTATACTACATTATAGTTATACTTACTCTATTAATTAAATTAGAAAAAAAAATTGCAGGTTATCTACCCACAGTGCAATCACAAACTTGTAGCTCTTAGAGAAATAGCTATTGAAATCAATTATAATACTCTTATTAAATATTTAGATCAAGTGGGTAAGTAAACTTGTAATTGCATTGAGTCGAGTGATTGATAAAACGATAGTTAAATGATACGCGCAATCATAACATGCAACAAAGATGTGATGCAGTAGGTCTGTATCTGCGACTCTACCCAAAGGCATCGCAATGACAAAGCTAGTTTCGTTTCCAATTCTCCAAATACCCACCGAATGAAATAACTAAATGCTGGAAATAAGAACACTGACCGTTCCTTTAACTTGGTTTCAGTTGCGCAATTGTGCGGAGGCCTAACTTGATATGCAATCCGGCAGTATAGGTATTACTGTTACACCTACCTACATATTCACTAACACGTTTTGGCTTAAAGTGCGTAGCTTTTGCTTAGACATACAGTCTTATTCCAAATCCACGTGTATTTACAGTCTTACTTCAGGAAATAATGTCAAAAATCGAATCAATTTGTAACACCCGGCTTTTCTCTACATGTTTACAACATACGAAAAACAGATTGAGATAATATCTTATTTATAGTTCACACATAGTCATACATAGTTTCGTGTATGACACGAAATGACGCGCAGTCGGTAGTTATAAAAACATGAAACAAGTGCATGATACGTACTTGCACTAGGTCCGGTCGCTGCGTCGCCGGTGCATTCAGGAGCAGCCGTCCGGATCGCTCGCTGCCAAACGTTCGTTTCAAAAACAAGAGGGACCTAATAGATGCGGCCGGCTGTTTATAAACATTGAAACACTCGGGACGGGATGCGATCAATACCGCGTCGAGCGCGCTCCGAGCGGCCGGGGCCACGCCGGCCCCAACCAACCTCACCTGCCGCGCGAAATCTGCGGCGTAGACAGATCACAGTGCACTGGACCGCTAGTAGACGAGTGCAGCAGGCGCGAGAGCGTATCGCACGGACGTTCTGAGCGGGCGGCTGGCGGCGGCCGTGTGTGCGCCGCCCTAGCTGTTACGTCACTCGGTTCTGACAGCCGGCGCGCGAGGGCAGCACCGGCGCCGGCCGCCGCAGCCGCGTCGCGGCGCCACCGGCGCGATCAATACGCGGTCCCGCTCAGCGCACGCGTGTGCTCTTTTTGCGGCGTCCCCTGGCGACCCCTATTGCAAATAATCTCAAAGGAGCGAGCCAATCTCGATGCAACTAGGTACACTCTGCATCTTTTACAGCAACTCGACCTAATATTACATTGGAACTCAATTGCAGAAGTAATATTGGGTGGGCCAAGTAATATACCGCTATGGCACTCAATATTGGGAATACTATTACCCACCCTCTCTTAACTATCTTTGTCTAGACAAAAGACGATCGTGAAGCTGTCTTCAAATTACACCATTCATCATAAATAGGTTCTCACTCACTTATCATATTATTGAAAATAACTCATACGAGTAAGGTTTGAGCACACTACATGGTAGAGTTAAGCTCTACATTAATAATAATATAAGCCTTTATTACTGGATTACAAGGTATTTTACAACATTAACATTTCATTTTACAATTTAGCTGCACTCATCTCCAGTTTGTCCTTGGACATAGGCCTCCTCCAATGATCTCCATGCTTCTCTGTTTCTAGCCATTTGACTTCTTGCTCCATTTTGGAAATAATTAATTTCGGTCAACTAACTAAACTACTGAAACAGCGCTTGATCGCTTATAAATAATGTCCAAGTCGTACTAAAGTAAGGTGTACGGATGCAGTATGGTTAAGTTCAACATAGCGAGTGTTATTTAATGCCAAAATCGCGAAATCTTATGCGTAAGGTAAACGGCTACTAGTTCGTGATAGTACGTAAGTTCGTAAGTTTTTTTCTAGCTCAAATAATAAGCAAATGGAATATTATTTATAAAAATTCTTCATTACTACAAAAACTCTATTATTTAAGCTATCTAAAAAACCAAGTACCAACATTGTGGCGCCAAAAATGAGAGCAATACGAAGCTTCAAACTCTCAGAGAGCCAAAAACAGCCGTGCGGCTTGCAAAGGTTGCTCTCACCGTAAGGTTAGCGCTCCAACTTTTTAAGCTTATAAAAAGGCGAAGAAACGTCCATTTAAATAAAACTTGTAATAGTAGTTTCATGTGTTCCTTGACAATTGATTTGGCTTAGAAAAAAGTTATATGAAAACGTAGAATTCCTTTAAAATTGCGATTAATTGACTCACGAAATAGCGTACATATTATTTTTCGGGTGTCCCCTATTTCGTGACACTACCGATTCAAGGATATTATGGATAACATTTTGATGCTTGGTTTTTAAATAATTATTTCCCCCCCCCCTACATTTCTAATGGTTATATAAATATTGTCACATATTGCAAATCAAAATATTATACTACTCACATTATTTCTTATGAATATTTCAGGTAAAATATCGTCAATTTCACATAATTATTTTATTCTAAATTTTTATTATCGTTTTTAAATTTATTAAACCCTTAATCATTATTAAAATAGCCTAACTGTATGCATAAAACCTTATCCCGAAATAGGGGACATGAGTTCACGAACTTAGAAACAGAGCAAAATTTTGTCACGAAACAGGATCCAAACAAGAGGTCCGCAGAACAATTAATATTAAAAAAAGTTCAAACTATATAACTATAAATTATGTATTAACTTACTGTCAAAAGACCAAAGTTTAGCATACAAAAGCTTTCATACTGATATCATGCTTGGTTATTTTTAAATAAAATGTTAAAGTCGTAAGAGCCTTAATATACCGAAGTAGGGGGCACTTACCTTAGTAGGTATACATCGATGATATTTTGTATGTAAATAATTCAAAACAATACTCTTTTTTTCTCTTAATTCCAGGGATAGATTTCAGTGCGCTCCGGTTTACAAATTAGTATTGGCCTGAGGAACAAAATGCACTATAGTTTCATTCTGGGCAGCACTTGGTCCAACTTCCATACATGGATTGGCACTGTCCTTTCCGAAAGCCAAACTTTCCGTAAACCTAACCTAACAACTCTAAAAATTTAACTCTCCGCAAACCTAAATTCTCCGAAAACCTGAACCCCGATAACTTACGAATAACTTTCCGTAAGCCTAAAAGTGTAAAAAAGCTAATAGTCCAAAAACTTCACTATCTGTAAACCTGACTCTTTGAAAACCTAAATCCGAAAACCTAACGGTCCAAAAACCTATCTTTCCGTAAATCTAACACCTCTAAATCCTATACCGCTTCCAAAAACTTATTTTCCAAATACCTAACTTTCCCTAAAAATAACTTTCCGTAAACCTAACTTTCTGAAGACTTCTGTCTTTCTGAAAACCTAACATTCCATAACTCTAAAACCGTCCGAAAACGGTAAGTTTCCGATAACCTAAGTTTCCGTTTTCGTTCCGTCTGAAAACTTACTTTCGAAATCCTTGCTTTCCGTAAATTTTTCCATGAGCCTAGCTTTCCGAAAGCCTAACTCTCCGAAAAACAAACTTTCCAATACCATAAAACAGGTGAGGCCAAGCTTCCTCGTTGTGGATAAAAAAAACTGTCAGAAAACCTAAGCCAAAAACATAACTAATAAAGTTAGTAGGTAGTAAACAAAAATAATAAAGAAGCTTTTTCAGTAAACCTTAAATTATATTGTAACTGTATGTTTCCCAAAAATAAATAAATAAACCTAACTTTCAAAAAATCTCATAAACCAGTACCGCTTCCGAAAACCTACTTTCTGAAAACCTATTTTTGTAAACCAAACTTAAAAATTCTAACTTTTTGATAATTTAAGTTTCCGATAACCTGATTTCCGTTTTTACCTAAAACAATCTAAAAACCTCAATCTGTCCAAAAACTTCACAACTGAAAACCGAATTGTCCAAAAACATACTTAACTGTCCAAAAACCATACAGTAAACCTAACTTTACAACAAGAACTTATCTTTCTGATAACCTAATTTCCGTTTTTACTTAAAACCCTAAGTATGTCCGTAAACTGAACCTCAAAAATCTAACTGTCCTAAAACCTAGATTGGCCCACAACTATCCCAAAACCGAACTGTCCTAAAACCTAAGTACAAAAACATCGTTCAGTAAACCTAACTTTCCGAAAACCTCGAAAACCTACTCACTAAAAAGTAAAAACCTAACTCCGTTATCCTATCTTTTCAAGAACTCATCTTTCTGATAACCTAATTCCCGTTTTTTCTTACAACTGTCTGAAAAATCCTAAGTATGTCCTAAAACTTAACTTCAAATATCTAACTGTCCAAAAACCTTTAGATTAGCCCACAACATCCTTCCCAAAACTTAACTGTCCGAAAACCTCTTTCCGTAAAACTAATTTTCCGAAAACCTACTCTCTCAAAACCTAACTCCGTTAACCTAACTTTTCGAGAACTTATCTTTCTGATAACCTAATTTCCGTTTTTACTTAAAACCTAAGTATGTCCGTAAACTGAACCTCAAAAATCTAACTGTCCTAAAACCTAGATTGGCCCACAACTATCCCAAAACCGAACTGTCCGAAAACCTAACTTCACAAATCTAACTGTCCGAAAACCTCTTTCCGTAAAACTAACCTTCCGAAAACCTAACACTCCAAAATCTATATTCACAATACTATAAAACTGTCCGAAAACCTAACTCCAAAAACATAACTTTCCAAAAACATCGTTCTGTAAATCTAACTTTCCGAAAACCTCGAAAATGTACTCTTTGAAAACCTAACTTTTCGAGAACTTTTCTTTCTGATCACATAATTTCCGTTTTTATTAAAACTGTCTGAAAACCCCCAAGTATGTCTAAAAACTTAACTCCAAAAATTGAACTGTCTGAAAACCTTTTGATTGTTTCACAACTATCCCGAAACCGAACTGTCCGAAAACCTAACTCCAAACATCTAACTGTCCGAAAACCTCTTTCCGTAAACTTAACCTTCCAAAAACCTAACTCTCCAAAAACCTAACTTCCCAATATTTTAAAACTGTCCGAAAACCTAACTCCAAAAACAACTCCGAAAACCTCGAAAATGTACTCTTTGAAAACCTAACTTTTCGAGAACTTTTCTTTCTGACCACATAATTTCCGTTTTTATTAAAACTGTCTGAAAACCCCCAAGTATGTCTAAAAACTTAACTCCAAAAATCGAACTGTCTGAAAACCTTTTGATTGTCCCACAACTATCCCAAAACCGAACTGTCCGAAAATCTAACTTCAAAAATCTAACTGTCCGAAAACCTCTTTCCGTAAACTTTACCTTCCAAAAACCTAACTCTCCAAAAACCTAACTTCCCTATACTTTAAAACTGTCCGAAAACCTAACTCCAAAAACAACTTTCCGAAAACCTCGAAAATGTAGGTACTCTCTGAAAACCTTACTTTTTGAGAACTTTTCTTTCTGATCACATAATTTCCATTTTTACTTAAAACTGTCTGAAAACCCCTAAGTATGTCCGGATACTTAACTCCAAAAACATAACTGTCCAAAAACATCGATCCGTAAACCTAAGATTCCGAAAACCTCGAAAATGTACTCTCTGAAAACCTAACTTTTCAAGAACTTTTCTTTCTGATAACTTAATTTCTGTTTTTACTAAAAACTGTCTGAGAACCTTTAAGTATGTCCGGAAACTTAACTCCAATAATCTAACTGTCCGAAAACCTTTAGCCCCAAACTGTCCTAAAATCTAACGGTCCGAAAACCTAACCTCAAAACCTAATTCTCCGAAAACCACTTTCCGTCAACCTAACCTGCCGAAACCTAACTCTCCAAAAACCTAACTTCCCAATACTTTAAAACTGACTGAAAACCTAACTCCAAAAACAACTGTCTAAAAAAATCGTTCAGTAAACCTAACTTTCCGAAAACCTACTCTCTGAAAACCTAACTCTTACTCAGATAACCTAACTTTTCCAAAAATTTTCTTTCTGATAACATAAAATCCGTTTTTACTTAAAACTGTCCTTAAAACCTAAATATGTCCGAAAACCTAACTACGAA